TTCTTAGAATCATGATTAAGACGAAGGACAGGACCATCGCTCTTTACCCAATCAAGCTACCCAAGTAACCATCTAGATAACACTCACTGCTTCAAATTATCCCTTACTTCAGGAGAGTTTACTCTAGTGGGCGCATCCGTTGCCACCACAGACCAATCCAAACACTTTTATGAACAAGAAAAATGCTAAAAAGTCTTCCCACAGACCTCTCGTTCCCTCCGGGCATGGTCGGCTAGCTGCCGTTCCAGAAATTGTGGCCGGCCATTCAATACCTCTTCTAGACGTCTTCGCACATGCTCGTGGAGTTGACAGTGCGCCCATGCTAAAAATAGCAATCGATTAGATAAGCGACAGAAACTCACTTTGACTGTACTCACTCTTTTTCAACATCATCGTCAATTTCTGTTGTTGTAGACGTTGTAGTGGTAGTTGTAGTTGTTGTGGTTGTCGTTGTAGTTGTGGTTACTGTAAGTTACCGTAATCAGAAGGTGAACAATTGACCAATCATAGCACTGCGCCCCAAGCAGTCGGCAAATCACAGCAAAACAACAGCAAACAAGCATCTTACCCTCTACAATACAAGCATAGGTGACATCTAAGTATTTCTTCGTTCCAGGGCATGGATCATGGATGAAGAAATCGTTATTGACGATGAAATGACATTCACGACGACCATCACAACTATAACACAACACGGCAATTCACAGCAATTCTGGCGATATTCTCGAACTTTCCAAATTTGTAATCCACCCTAAACTTCATCACCACCACGACGCACAGCACGTAATGCAACGCAAAATAAAAGCAAGGCAATGCAATGCAACGTAACGCAACGCAAGCATAACCCAGCCAAGAGCAATGTTAAGCACCTTGTGTACAATAATATGTCGCTTCGAGGTATTTACTCGTTTCTGGACATGGATCATCGAACATGATCGCATCGACCATAAATTCACAACGGCTCAAGCCTTCACATCTAAAGTCAAATGATAAATCATTGTCTACTATCTTGGCGACCTTTTATGGAAATTTCATGAACAATTGAGCTGATCGCATTTGGAAAGAGTTGAAGTTGATAAGCATGGGTTGCGGTGAAATTCCCTTATGTAATTTACTGATAGGAAATCAATAATGATGAAAATGCACTTCGACTGGCAACCAATTGATTAAAATCAAATAGTTTAATTCCCGCTCTAGCCTTAAATTTGAACCACATACCAGTTTTTCTCATTTCATAAATATGACGACCTTGAAAACTCCCCTTGACAGAGAAAAATGTTAAAATAAACTTTTGAAAAAGCCTTGGAACTGTAGGACGCAAGTCATTAAAGAGCAAAGTATAACAAAGATGTGTAGACTATGTAAACTTACCGAAAGCTTACGTTTTTGTGTAAGCTCTAGAGTAATGTCCGTGTCTTTTGTTTTACAAATGGACCATTTTCAGCTTTTTAGCAAAAGCGCACTGGAATTTGTGTTTCTCAACTTTGCTACCTCTTGAACTAAAGTGATTGTTTACTCGAAAATGTACGACAGAGTTTACCCAAGCGTCTGGGAGCAAAGAGATTAGTTTTAAGAAAAACCTTTTGAGCAAACTTAGGTAAAAGGACACTAGTGTTTTTCAGGGGAAAAAGTTCTCGGTAAACAGAGGTCGAAAGACATTTATAGAAATGAGAGTAATTCTGCCAATGCTACCTTGCTTTTCATAATTACCCGACTTTTCTGCCTTTCACCTACGCTTGATTAATAGCCGAGCATGCTCTTTTGAGCACTCTGCTCCCATATCCATAGGTCGAGACTCCAAATGCCACCGGCGGGATTTTGAGTGATGGGGTCAGCGTGCGGCGACTCTGCGCCAGCAGCGCGTAAATCCTTCGCTGGTAGCCTTTTAAGGCTACCGCCTTAGATTCAGCGAAAGTGGCACACGCCTCAGTAAGCACGTATCGGTCAACCGGGCAGCCAACAGCTCTGCTTTGCCTAAATCCATCCTCAAGAACAGCAAAAAACCAGCGGAAATCTAGCAACCAGTAGGCAGCTGCTTACCCAACCATGCATGCTTAAATAGTTTGAGTTCCCATTGCACATCGCCACCTGGTAGCTAATTTTGGGGATGTTTACAACATGTTCACCCGATGAAGCGTTACGGTAAACATGCACAGCACATCCCTCTTGGGCCAAGAAACCCTGGGGATGTTGTCCTGATTCTAATTACTGTTCGCACCTAATTGGATCCAACTCCAAAGTTTGTTTACTGGTAGTGCACGCACACATATGTTCGCTACTGTGTTTGTTTCTATTACCGTATTGTTGGTGATAATTGACGGCGATTAATCTGCGTACAATATGATGTGACCTTCAAGTTGGAGACTAACAAGAACGCCGGCGCTGGATGTAACCATTCAACGATGCAGTGTGCACGATATAAAATATGAAATGCACTTTGGATTAGCTATTTTCATAAAGTGCATCCTTGTCAAGACGAGCTAGCAGAAAAACACAAAAGAGAGCGGCATAATTGGTTTTTGAATAAAAAAACGCTTTTCTCATATAAATGTTCTGAAGAGAGCTGAATAGATGCTGCAAAGCTGCAAATTTCAGTTTAAACATGAAGAAAGTTTTTGAAAATTTCTCTTTTTTCCACAAATTAAAAAAATTTCCTATAGAATAAATAGAAGTTCAGTAGAGTAAAACTTGAATCACAGCAGAGCTTTGCAATAAGATTTTTGAAAAGACTGACTTTTACCTAAATTATGGGTAAGTGAGATGCTGTACTAACC